GCCTGGAGAAAGTTTCCAGGCCACAGAGCAGGGAGAGGAACTGCAGGGTCTCCAAGGCAAGAAGATGCCAAGTAAAACAATCTCTTTTACATATAAGCTCATATGCTTTTATAATTTGTTATTTTCTAATTATTCCATTCTTTTTATTTTGCTTTATTAACACACCTTGATTTAGAAAACACAAAGTTTTCCATAATCCATAAAAGACTTCTAACGACTAAGATATGAAATTACTTAAGCAAAATTAATGGAAGTATAAGGCCATGAAAAATAGCACTTACTTTAAAAAATTATTTTATGCCCTGGCTGGTGTGGCTCAGTAGTTGGAGTGTCTGCCAGTGCATGGAAGGGTCAGGGGTTCAATTCCCAGTCATGGCACGTACCCAGATTTTGGGTTCAATCCCCAGTGGGGGAGTGTAAGTGAAGCAACAGATCAATGCTTCTCTCTCTCTCTCCCTCTCCCTTCCTCTCTCTCTAAAACCAATGAAAAGCGTGTCCTGGGGTGCGGATTTAAAAAAATTATTTTATTATACTTTAATTAGCTGATGTTGCTTGAAATAACTTATTTCAATGCAGATTTTTTAAAAATAAAAAATGCATAGAAAATAAATGAATAGTAGTAATGTCAAATGTGTGAGTTAAATAATTGAAATTGCAAGTTTGGACAAACAAATATATTTGTACCTCACTTGTTGTTTGTACCAAAACCCCAAGGTGATCCCACCATCTTATGGTAACATTCTAAGTTTAAGGGGTTTTGTTTTGTTTTTTATAGTTCTTAACAAGTAGAAAATGAAGTATTTTTAATGTATACAATTGTAATATATAACTATAAAATTTTAGTTACCACTGTACAAATTATAAGCATATACATATATATGTATGTGTGACATATATTCAGATATATATATAGTGTCTCCAAAAATGTGTACACACACTATGAATAATTATAAAGGCAGTGTTTATTAAAATACATTTCATTTTCACAATTGAGCTATCAGCTGTTAAAGTATATATACATTTTTTGGGATACCCTGTATTTATATATAATGATATTTTATATATATATATCTTACTTTCTAAGTCTGCCTTAAATTGTTTTTTCCTCCAATCTTCTAATTCAAGTCACTGATTATTTTCTCTATAGTTTCAGTTCTTTTACTTACTTGCTCTCACCCCATTTCATATTTTGTACTAGCAATACTTGAATTTATCATAAGTTTTTATACCTTTTGCCAGCCTACTTTTAATCTTATATTATTGTCTTAACTCATTTTAACTGCTTTCATAATTTTCCCCATGAATTGCCCTTTTCCATTTTTATTTTAGGGATAATCATGTACAAAAAGCACTATCTTCAGGGATCTTCCAGTGTATTATATCATTTTTAATAGGTTCCTCTCTTTGAAGTTGTCTTAAATTCACCCTTTATTAGTCTTCCTTTTAGTAATAGTTTTAATAGGGCCCATGATCACCCAACCAGAAAGTACATTGCCCTATTTCCTATTAGCTAGATATGATCATATTACTAAGTTCAGGCCAAAGGGATATCATCAAAATTAATATGCACTACTCCCTGTTTTCTTCCTTAAAGATAGTATGCTTCCTCTGGATCCCTCTTCCCCTGTCCAGTTGGCTGGAAAATGTCAGCATCAAATTGATCTTGGTGCTCCTAGAGATGGAAGCCATGTACAGGTGATGGATGAGCTCAACAAGAAGTATTTACTTACTCATAACCTCCCCTGAATATCACATGAGAATGAAATAAATTTCTACATTGACACTTTAGGCTGAATAGTTCTTCATTGTGAGGGCTGTCTTATGTATTGTAGGATGTTTAGTAACATCTTTGGTGGCAAGTGCTAGATGCCTACAGCCCCTCCTCTCCATCCCATTTGTGACAAACAAAAGTGTGTCCATTTGGCAATGTTCCCCTACAGGGAAAACTTGTCCTTGGTTGAGAACCACCAGTCTATAGGCTAAGGTAGAAAATGCAGATGGTAAGTGGGATGTTTCCTTAAAAATGCTCAAATATGGCATTTACTTAGGGGTCAGGTGGGAGGGAATGGGTCAAGAGGTACAGAAGGCCGGGAGGCAGTGACTGTTTTCCTCCTGTGGCATTTGTAGTAGAAAGAACATGGTCCTATGTGACTTAAAGTTACAGAGAAAGTATTGGAAAGAAGTAGAATATCAGTGTTGTTTTGTTTTGTTTTGTTTTGTTATTACATGGTATTTTAAGCAAAATACAACAAAAATGAGCTTTTTTTTTTTTACAACTGCAAGTTTGTACCTCTTAACCCTCTCCACCTATTTGTGTGTGTGTGTGTGTGTGTGTGTGTGTGTCCGCATGTGCACATAAGAAGGTAGGAGGATATGTGGGTTCACGGTCCCTTATTCAAAACCCTTACAGCCACACATGTTTTGTAATCCCTAACTCTTTTATATTTCAGAATGATATTTTGGTGTATATGTCATCTATTACCCATCCCAGGAGGGACTGGAACCTCAAAATCAAATATATTAATATTTTATCAGTAAAAAATATTAATACTAACACTAAGCGAAATAAAGATTAAAACTAGCCTTTAAAAATGAGCATGGCCAGGAAATATTGGACAATCTGCTTGTTGCCTGCAACCTAAATTGGCTAATAGACCAGGAAAGTGAGTTCTCTCCAGGTCGAAAAAGCTGTCTCAATGTCACAAACCACAGCAGCAACGAAAAGACTGCCACAGTTTTCTCAAATGTTTGGACTTTTCAGCCAAGAATATATGGAGGCAACAGGGAAAGACCAGATTGTAGGCACTGCCTTCTTTCCCTGCTTACTTTTCAGAGGGCCACGAGTTAACCACCCTTAAGATGAAGAAGGGGGCGGAAAGGAGGGCCCAGCAACCAGGCAAATCAGTTAAAAGCAAGAATCAGAGGATGAGGTTCTTTCACATGTAATTACGTAGAAAGTTGAAAAATCTCTGGCCTGGCTTTGAATGGCTTTTAGTTGTGTGCTATGGCAGGAAATCATTGCTTTCTTACAACTGTGCCAGCAAGAGGGAAACTAAGCAGCTCTGCGGTGGCCCAATGTTGTGGCCCAACTCTCCAACATCGGCTTCTGAAAGATTAGGAAATAAGGAAAACTTCCCAGGTGACCAAATTTGGGGCCAGAAAGGAGAATGAATAAGAAACTTCCTCCCAGAGAACAAAGCCAGCGTCTAGACAAAGAAATTCTTTGCCAGGTCGGGGAGTTCTTGAAACTTGGACCCAGCATGATTTATTTATAATTGTAATGAACCAATGGCTTTTTCAAGTGAGGATTCTTACTGCAGTTTCCTATTTCTTTTCCGCCATTCGATGTTGGGTGTGTATAGACAGAGGTGTTGCAGTTATAAGAAAAATAAATGACTGTACTTTTTAGTTTTCCACATTGGGTATCCCTGCGTGATTTTTTTTCCCGTGTCTTTGGTAGTCTATCAGAAACCATTAATTTTACTCCAGTATTTATTACCCCCTATTTCCTTTTAGTAATAGAATCTAATGATTTTTAGTTGAATACAAGCTATCCAACTAAAGAGAATACATTCCCACCCTGCCTTGTAAAATAAGACTTATCACAAAACTAATAGCCAATAGAGTAAGTGGGGGGAAAAGTTGAACTTTTTGGTTCATGTATTATTTTTTTTTTAAATGCATTGCTTTCCTTTAACTCCACCTTTGGGCTGGCTATCAAGTAGTAAAAGTTCAGACACCGAAGTAGAACTCACTTATTGAGAGTAGCAGGTTTGTCTCACTAGTCGGTTTTCTAGATGACCTCATGATGAAGGGCCCATCTAGGTGCACTAGACTTATATGCAGCAGAGTAATAGGCTATAACCTTGTTCCAACTGCTATAATTTTGGCTTCTTTTTACTTATTTTAAGTCTATACTTTAACTCTTACATCTTCCCTGAATTACAATGACACTATTAACATTGTCCTTAGAAATAAGCTGACGTTTTAGGTATGTTAAGATTACATTTTAAGTTCAATTATTCAGGATGTCAACTATATAGAATTGATCTGGAGCTATGACATAGGCCATGACACTTGGGATAATTTACTCTGCACTTTTAATCTTAATTTGACAACAACATTGCCCCAAACCAGCTCTGTCTACATAATCAGGCAAAGTATTCCCCACTAGGTATTTTCATTTCTTCCACATTTCTTAGTATTTTCTTATTCTATTTTCTAATACAGAGGAGGTTTTATATCTCCATTTTCCCCATGGCTAAACTATCTTTATACATATTTCTTATGTATCTCAAAAATCCAGTTTTTAGTTTAGCAGTTATATTATCTATTTATTAAACAATATCTGCTCTAAAAGGAAAACAATTACTTCTCCATTTGAAACCTGGATTTGATTCGTAGCTCCCATTCTAGCAAACATGTGTGTATACTTTTGAGCACCCAGACACACAGACATACCTTCCCTGGGTTTAAGGTCTTCATTTTAACTTCGTGGGTTTAATAAGAATGATTTACATCTCGTCTTCCTCATTTAGTAAGATTTTCTCGTAGCAGAGCTTTAATGGTACTCATGAGTTCTAAATGTAATTTTTTTTCTCAGTTTATTTGGGTACTTTTATGGTGTAAGAGTCTGTCAACTTCTACCCCACCCTTCGTGTTTCCATGTTTCAAACAGTGAAACAATAACAAAGCTAAACTAAAAAAAAAAAAAAAGGAGGAGAGATTCGGCTTATTTAACTCACTTTAATAGTCAACCCTATGAATCACAGTGGTGAAGTCCAAATGAGATCTTTAAGAGAGTAGGTAAATGCATGACAGAGCTAAGGTGAATTGCATTGCTGTGCTGCTGTTAAGAATTCTTGATGGTCCATCGCTTGGTCATTGCCTGATTTTGATACCACCGTAGATTTTAACCAGGGTCAGGTTAAGATGTAAAAGCACTAGGTTGACTTAAAGGCTGGTGGGCAGGAAGCAGCAGGAAGGAACACTTTTGCCAACTACAGGTTGCTGAGGGCATCCACTCCAGGAAGGACTTTACCTTCCAGAAGCTCTAGACTGGCTCCACCTCCAGTGCTCACGTGGCTGACTTTATCCTCAGTGTCCCATTTAGCACAGCAAGTGGCAGTGTCTCCACCTCCTATGATGGTGACACAGCCCCGGGAAGTGGCTTTCACAACTTCATCCATGAGGGCTTTGGTTCCCTTAGCAAAGGCATCCCATTCAAACACCCCTACAGGTCCGTTCCACACGATTAGTTTGGCTTGGGCCACAGCTTCAGCATACTTCTTGTTGGTCTCAGGACCACAGTCCAAACCCATCCAGCCAGCAGGAATGCCTGATGCTACAGTGGCCTGGCCAACCTTGGCGTGCTCCTCAAACTTGTCAGCAGTGACAAAGTCCTCGGGGAGGGTAACCTTCACGCCGTTCTTATGGGCTTTGTCCATGATCTCTTTGACAATCTTGGCTCCCTCCTCATCAAAGAGGGAGGCACCGATCTCCATGTTGTTGAGCACCTTAAGGAAGGTATAAGCCATCCCACCGCCGATGATCATATGATTGACCTTGTCCAGCATGTTTTTGATAAGTTGGATCTTGTCTGCCACTTTGGCTCCACCGAGGATAGCCAGAAAGGGTCTCTCTGGGTTCTCCAAGGCTTTGGCAAAGTATTCCAGCTCCTTTTTCATCAGGAATCCGGACGCCTTCTGAGACAGGTTCACTCCCACCATGGAACTGTGGGCCCGGTGAGCCGTGCCAAACGCATCGTTGACATAGACATCCCCCAGCTTTGACAGGGATTGTCGGAAGGCTTCTATATTTTGTGGCTCAGCTTTAATCTTATTTCCAGAAGGATCTTGGCCCTTCCCTTCTTCCTCCACGTGGAAGCGTAAATTTTCCAGCAAGATGACTGAGCCAGGCACCGGGTTTGCACAGGCCTTCTCTACTTCTGGGCCCACACAGTCGTTCAGGAACAGAACATCCCTACCCAGCAAGGACTTGAGCTCAGCAGCAACAGGCGCCAAGGAGTATTTGTCGGGCATGGGGACACCATCAGGCCGACCTAGGTGACTCATAAGGACGACTGAGTGGGCCCCGTGGTCCAGGCAGAACTTGATGCTGGGGAGTGCAGCCTTGATTCTCTGGTTGTTGGTAATATGGTTCTTCTTCATGGGAACGTTGAAGTCTACTCTCATGATGACCCGTTTACCTTTCACATCCAGCCTGTCCAACGTTAACTTGTTAGAAAGAGTCATCGTGACAACGCGAATACAATCCGAGGCCCCTCGGCTGCTGCTGGAGGCTGGGCCGGTGTTTCTAACCGCCCTCGCCTTGGCCCGCCCCC